CCAAATGTCCATCTACTCTGCGAGCACTTCCACTTTGTGAAGTCGTTTAATTCCGATTGGCTGCTGGACGACTCAGACGCCTGTGTTCCAATTCCATTGTCAACAAATGTAGTGTTGTTTCCACTTGATAATTGTTCATGTGCAATGTTACTGTTTACTTGAGGTGTCTCTTGCGGCAAACTGCTATTCGATTCAGTTTGTACTCCATCATTTTCCAACAAGGGTGTTTCCATATTTTCTGTAGTAATAATTTCCTGGGCCAGCTGTTGTGTATTGGTCGGTTGAGATTCAGTTGCCATAGCAACATTGTTTTTTAAATGCACAGATTTCTTGACTAACTATAACAAAAATTGACGTGAGGCATGTGTTTCAACATCCACTTGCTCAGCTATTTTGTCCGATTCATCACCTATTCTTAATGCGTTTTGTTTATCCCCACTTTTCTGGTATGCTTCCTCAAGCTTATCTAATACCTCCAAACAAATGTCTTTCTGTTCATCGATTTTAACCAATAAATCGCATATATTCTCTCGATTAGGGTTTTCCTCTGACAACAAACAGGATAACTGTGTTAACAAACGTGTCAACAACGATTTTGCATTTCGTTTCTGCTTCTTAAAATCCGATATAACTATTACCACCGTCTCTTGAGCCTCGTTCTCAGTTGTTTCCGTATCACTCATATTTCCCCACGATAACGTTCCCAATATACAACCAAAATACAATCTAAAATGTACTTACGATTGTCGAATTTCCTTTAATTCTGATGAAAATCCAAATTTTCTTGTTTGCCGATGATGCACAAGTCCAATAGGGCAATATATAAAACCAATATTTACGTATTTTTACCCCTCGATATTTACTCGAATTTCCCTTGAAATTCTACAATCCGACTGTCGAAGGACCAAAAATGTAGTCGAGACCTACATTTACGTGCTGGTTCACTAAACATTCACTCATTTCATAGTTTTTTAAAACAAATATTTAATAAAAACGATAAATAACAACTTCAACGCGGCCATGTGTTTTCCGCCTTTTTTTCCGTCTAATTAATGTACTTTATGTCGCCAAAATGGCGTTAGTTTGTCAACTGTTCGTTTTCGCTCCGACATAATTCATGAAGGAAATTCAAAAGAAATGAATGTTAAATCAATGTATGTAAATCGTCGGATAATAGATTTGTAAATTGTTCTCATTTACATAAACTTGGCAGCTTCGATTTTCTCGGCTTAGACAATGTTTATTTTAAAATTACTTCGCCAATGAACTCATATGATGGGTCGTCTTTTAAGCACGTTAAAATACGAGCAGCCGATGTTTATCTGATATACAAACTCTCGCCATTGTCCCCAATTTTAATATATTCTAATGTGACTCCCTTGAACTAATTATAGTAGATCAAATATAAATCAACGGTAAATCCGAAAATAAAAAAAAATTATTTTCTACAGTATATTATATTATATTTGTTGTTCTACAGTATACTATATTAAAATACTCAGTGGTTCCCGTAATAGTAGGTCTCATTTTGTTTCCGGTTTGTTCCTAGCAACATCAAATGTTCCTAGTAACAGTCAACCAGCATCAGTGGATCACGTGTTCGGCCGTTTCACTCCCCTCTTTATTTTTTATTATTTCTCCGCCTTATTTTAAATTTCGGATCTTTCTCGGTCGCCCTTCGGAGTATCATCGTGTAACATAAATTAATATCAAAGATGAACATAAATTATTGCGCCTGCGATACGCTAATACCGCTTTCAACATTCAAAATGGCGGCCGATGAAAATTGAAAACATTTACATGTAATTAAAAGGTTAGTATAAATTTACACAAGTATTTCTGGCGTGCTCCCTTGAATGAAGTCGATCAAGAAAAGTTTGTAGAAAAAATATGAAATGGCGACCATGTTTTTTTACCAGGCCAATATACTATGTGTTACATGAAGTATAACACAGGTGGGCTACGAGCCTGCAGTATAGTTTTGAAAACACTATATTTATACTAAATTGGCTGTGAAATTGGCTTCATATTCTGCAATATACTACCCTGGTTCCAGAGGTTTAAAATAAACCTCTGGTTGAAAGCGGCAATTGATTCATCGAGCCGCGCCAATCTGTTTAAATTAGGGTCAGATCCTGACTCTGTCTCCTGATTGGATGATTTTATTAAAGCTCTCTGATTGGTTATAGATGTTTTATTTGAATCAATCAGAGAGCTTTAATACAATCATCCAATCAGGAGACAGAGTCAGGATCTGACCCTAATTCAAACTGATTGGCGCGGCTCGATGAATCAATTGCCGCTTTCAACCAGAGGTTTATTTTTCCTCTCCCCTTCGCAATGAAAATAATAAAAATAAACCTCTGGAACCAGGGTAGCAATATACCGTATTATGGTTCCTAAATGTTTGGTGTTTGCTCAACCTTGAAGGTAGAAAGAAATATGTGTATTTGTATATATAAAAATATTATAAATAAGTATTTTATATTATATAAGTATTTTATATTATATAAGTATTTTATAATATACTATATTATATATTATACTATATTTTACTATTTTATATAATATATTATGGATATTTTACTTTGCAAATCATGTGTAATAATCCATCTTTATATGTTCTCTAAATATATTATGTTATTTATGTCTTTCGAAATACTGTCCAACCTACATTTTCCCATTTTTGGCCCGACACCTTGTTTGACAAATGTCGTCAAACGTCCGGATAACTTTGAATTTTCAGAAAAGCAAATGGGTTCATTTGTTCAGTAATGACAGATAAATATTTATTTGTGTGCACTCATTGTGCGCACCCAATGTACAAATAGGGTTAAAAATGATTAAACTGTGTATTAAATATACGGAACAATAGTCTCTCTTACAGCCATTCTTTGAATAATATTTGTGTCATCATGTACTCCTCCACACAAGCTCATGAAGAGGAATAAAATCACAGCGCAAAGAGCAACAGACTGCAAGGGAGACTACTTGAGCAATGGTCAAATCTTTTATGAGACAATGATCATGGCAGTGATGTATGAAAAATTATTTGGACCATGAACTGAGCCGTGATATTAAACTGTATTAACACAATTTTTGTATTGAAGCAAACAAATTTTGTTTCATACCCCCTCTTTAAAGTGATAAATATATTTCATACCCCATCCAGATCCCTGAAAAAATTTCATACCCCATCCCAATATCCTCCGCCCTGGGGTAGCACTTACTTTATGACCGCTCCCTAAGCCGTCAAATTTCATATAAGATATAAATAGAACATCGTGAGCACCCTGCATGCAAAAGTTTATAACATTACGACTCTCTAGGTTGAATTTTTGCCACCACTTGCCATCGCTTTCATGATTTCTGCTTTCATGCAGTAAGGAATCTAATTTCAACTGTCCGAAGATTGGGTTTCTGTGCATAACACGATATGCTTCACCTGATTTGTTTACAAAGCGATGTTTATACTGTTGACCAAAGCTAGTGGGAAATATGCATGTAAAACAGCTTAATACAGTGATTTGTCTCCAGTATCTGGTCTGGTCTAGTAAATTACAAATACTAAAGGTAAATTATGACTATCTATTGCAATTTTAGAGAGAAAAACTGTTTATAATGTGATAGCTGATTCAATATCCAAGTCGGCAAGTTGTAATGTGGGGACTAAATACTGAATCAATCATGCTAGTAGGCTAAGCGATGTTTTTTCCTCTCAAGAGTTTGTCAAACTTTTATTATTCTATATTACTTACTTTATTAGGATTCATATATCTAAAATAGGGAGCATTGTTTTCAACGTGTGGTTGATTTTTACATGTGAGTTAATTCCTCGGCCATTTCGCGACGACCTTTTTGACCCTTCAAGTGGATTTTACGAGAGCTCTCAAATCGCATCTTTTCAGTAGCCCAAAAATTTTACTGCAGTTTTCGGAAGTTGAAGCATAGTAGATTCATTATATATAATAGTCATTTTACCCGAATCCATATGCCAAAGTGCAAATTTTGACTTTGAAGTAAAGCATAATATTATTTTTTGCATGCGAAAAATTGTCCAAGTTTAAAATTCTGTAAAATAGTCAAAGTCAGTCCAAATTCAAAAGTTTAACACTAGAAATGCAGCAAAATTATCATTCTTTCCTTAGATGTAAATAGCTTTTGTTTGAAATAAAACAAGAATTTTATAGGAATTTTTTTCTGATATGCATTGAAACGGTCTCAATTACTCAAATTGTGATCGTTTGAGCGTATAAACACAAAATTGCATTTTCCTCCTAAAATAAAAATCTAATAGACTTTTTAGTATTTTTCCCATTCATAGCCCACATAGGCCCACGTTTGGGCATTTTTTGAGAATTTTCGATATTTTTTATTTTGACCGCCTCCGGTCGATTTTTACAGACATGGCGCTGTTAAGACCGGGAGGCGTGTGAACATTTCTTGAAAAATTGTCGAATACCGAACTTAAGCACAAAAGTTAAAGGACAATGACAACGAAAATTTTT